CCCCAAAACCCCAAAACCCCAAAACCCCAAAACCCCAACAAAGATTAATGGATAGAATTTATTGTTTAACATGATCGGAAGCGTTTTTGTTAATACTTCAAGAAGACAAGTGCAGTTCCAAAAGAGGTTCTTTGCATCCAAAATAGGCAGAGCTGGTAAAAATATTCCTCCCCAAATTCAAGAAATGATGGAAAGAAAGCTCTATAATGTCACAAACCACCCAATATCTATCCTGAGCAACATCATAAGAAAGTATTTTGAGACTGAGAAGATAACAGATATTGAAATCCCTGGGGAAAAATTTATTTGTGAGAGCTCTTTTAACTCTCTTGTTAATACCAAAAAGTGTTTTGATGATGTTTTGGTACCCAAAGACCACGTGAGCAGGCAACCAAGCGACACATATTACTTTGATGATGATACTGTCTTGAGACCTCACACATCAGCCCACCAGATTGAAATGATTAGGAGTAACCACAATGCTTTCTTAGTCCTTGGAGATGTGTATAGGAGAGATACTGTAGATAAGACTCACTACCCTGCTTTTCACCAAATGGAAGGAGTCAGAATCTTCAATTATGATCAAATTAATGCTAAGGATTATGACCATGCCAAAAAGATTGCTGAGAATGACCTCAAGCAGACACTTTTAGGCCTTAGCTCTCATGTCTTTGGAAATATTGAAACAAGATGGATGCCTGAAAATTTTCCATTCACGGATCCAAGTCTCGAGCTAGAGGTCTTCTACAACGAAGACTGGATGGAAATCCTTGGGTGTGGAGTTATTCATGACCAAGTTATGAGGAACGCAGGAAGAGATCCAGAGAAAGAAGTTGGGTGGGCCTTTGGACTTGGGCTAGATAGATGGGCAATGAGTTTGTTCCAGATTCCTGATATTAGACTCTTCTGGAGTAAAGACGAGAGATTTTTGGGTCAATTCAAAGAAGGAGAAATCACAACATTTGAGCCATACAGCAAGTTTCCAGCTTGTTTTAAAGATATTACTTTCTGGATAGGAGAGGATTATGATGAAAATGGATTTATGGAACTAATTAGAGATAACTCACAAGACATGGTAGAATCAGTTGAATGAATTGACACCTTTACTCATCCAAAGACTCAAAAAACTAGCAAATGCTACAGAATTAACTACAGACACATGGATAGAAATTTGACTAACGAAGAAGTAGATGAGTGGCAATTCAAGCTTAGAGAAAGAGTCGAATCTGAGTTAGAATTAGAACTAAGATAACTATCTTTTCAATATTTTAATTAAAAAAAGGGGTTTTGGGGTTTTGGGGTTTTGGGGTTTTGGGG